GAGAGAGAGAGAGAGAGAGGGACAGACAGAGGGAGAGAGGACAGAGACAGAGAGAGAGAGAAAGGGGGGGGGTGACAGAGATAAGGACAGACAGACAGAGAGAGAGGACAGATATACAGGGAGAGAGTGAGAATGAGGGCAAGAGAGAGAGGGGGAGAGAGAAGGACGGAGAAAGAGAAGGACAGAGAGAAGGACAGATATACAGGGAGAGAGTGAGAATGAGGGCAAGAGAGAGAGGGGGAGAGAGAAGGACGGAGAAAGAGAAGGACAGAGAGAAGGACAGATATAGAGGGAGAGGGCCAGAGAGAGAGAGAGACAAGGGGAGAGAGACAGAGAGAGAGAGAGAGGGGGAGAGAGAGGGACAGAGAGAGGGCGAGAGAGGGAGCCTGGATTGATTGAAATCAGCCTCCACAGTAACAGACTGGATGAAACATGGTCCAGATAATAACAGCAGGAATAAAGGTGGAGGGGGGGTCCAGACTCCACAGCTCCAGACTCCTGCAGGAGGTGATGGATCATGTTGTGTTCATGAGGCTTTAGTTGTGTTGTTGTTGTTTTCCCTTCAGGAATACGGCATCAATAAGGTGGAGAAGCTGGACATAGCGTACGCCTACTGCCTCCCTCTGGTCAGGAAGATCCAGCTGGACCTCCAGAGGACCCACGAGGACGAGTCCGTCAACAAGCTGCACCCCCTGTGAGGCACACACACACAGACACACACACACACACACACACACACACACACACACACACACACACACACACACACAGAGACACACAGAGAGAGACACAGAGAGAGAGAGAGAGACAGACAAACACAGAGAGACACAGCGAGAGAGAGACACACATGCACAGAGACAGTAACACACTCAGAGACACATAGACAGACACACACACACAGAGACACACACTGAGAGACACATACATGCACAGAGACAGACACACACTGAGAGACACATACATAGACACACACACACAGAGACACACACATGCAGAGACAGACACACTGAGAGACACATACATAGACACACACACAGAGACACACACATGCACAGAGACAGACACACACTGAGAGACACAGACACACACATAGAGAGACACACACATGCACAGAGACAGACACACTCACACAGACACTCATATATACACACACACACACTCAGACACACACACACAGACACACAAAATAACACAAAGAAGCCAAAAATTGTCATAAAATGACCAAAGGGGCCAACCTCTGTAATTTCACTGTTTTTGGTTTAACTCATAATAAATCTGATATTTTAGCTTAAAACCAGGTCTTGAAATATTTCTTCTAAAGGATTTAGGCAGTGGATGTATGTTTTAAGGAGGTAAACAGTGTTTTAGGGCCCTACAGGTAAAGGGGGTAAACAGTGTTTATGGGCCCTACAGGTAAAGGGG